AATAGGATTTATTCTTAACAGACATGCATCAAACTGCACTGTTTCCTGTAAAGATGCACAAGATCATACATACTTGCTTAGCTTGGGAGTAAGTTGTATTTAACCTGGAAGCACAAGTCACACTGCCAACTGCATTTTCACAAAACATAACTGGCTTTTGTTTCGGCATCTAGGATTTGCTTTGGTGATACTACCGGTGATTGAGTTCAAGGGTAAAACTATCATTGGCAATGAACTGTCATTTGTTGAATGAAATAAAAAATCCAAAGTAGCTCCTGTGGAAGAATGTGGTTTAATAAACAAGTTTTGTATTAGCCTCTACCTGCTCCGAAGTACATATAGGACTGCAGTCAAATCAACCAATTTCATCCCTGTGAAAACAGAACTTTGAAAATACAGGAGCCCCCGATTAGAGGGGGAGATTTCAGAATGATCCTGTAAAAGTCTGTTCACGTACTTGCAGGAAAAAGAATGCATGATAGGTATTTTGAGTCCTTGCTTGTGTATGTTATTAGAAAGACTGTGTCCATGTGCACAAACAAATGATGATTTAAAGTCAAGCAAGAGTGCATGTTTGTACAACTGGTTATTATCCAGAATGGGTGTTTGTGTGGATAGATCTCTGACAAGAAGGAGAAAAGGTGATGTGGGAATGATTTGGTTAGAAAACAGAAAAGGGAGGTAGAAAAAGAATAGGGCTTTCATTAACTGTTTTTTTTTTTTACTGGTATAGAAAACTATAGCTCCAGAGGAGTTGGATTTCACCTCTGCCTTCTACTCAGGCTTTCAGATATATTAACTATCTTTTGTTACTGACCACACACTCAGTCTATAGCATTCATTTTGTATCCTCAATTTTTCTGTTGGAACACTTTCATAAACTGCTAATGGGCCCAAAAATGTTGCAACACGTTTACTCAGAAGTCAGGGACTTCCTTCAGACTAAGCATATACAGAATTATAGCCTAAATTAACATATTACAATGAACCCTAAAAAGGGAGAATAATCACATGCTCTTAACTACATTTATATGCAATTTCATATACTACTTTTTTAACGTGGCAGATTTTTTTTTTTACGACAGTGAAACTATCTGTCTTACATTATTTAGATCTTCAGCAAGAATGTTTCACACATTAGTGAAGAGTTAATTTCATTTGCATCATGAGAGCCTACAATATATACAATTTTATATTAATGGAAAATTAGACTGTGCTTGACACAATATATACAATTTTATATTAATGGAAATTAGACTGTGCTTGACAAGTATGGTCCAACAAATCAGAAGACAGAGAATGACATTCAACGCAGACGGAGTTGAAAATTCCACTGAAGTCAATGTGATATAGTTTCAGTCAAATATATTTTGGGTGGGGGCACTGCTGCCTTGATTCTGAAGAAAGATGATGATTACGCAACCTGCATTTTAAAACTCACAGATGATCATGGAATTATAAGGTGATCAGGCTAGTAGAGGAGGGAAAGATCACATTGCCTTTTATCAGAAAGCAAGAGTGAGTGATATGTTTATTAGACCACTAAAAATGACAAACAATGGCTGAAATCCTATTGCTTAGATTAGTAAATCACATTAGAGTGAGCCCATTGAATCAGTCCAACATCTTATTAGAAGAGTAACTTTCCTAATATTTTAAAGCAAAGCTGAGAAAGTATGTGTTTAATTTTTTAAAAAAATTTCAATTTTTAAGGATTCAACACCAATTCTGCTCTATCTGCAAAAGCAGATAAAGACAAAACTGAATGTTTGTCTCCTGGAAATTGCAGGATCCACACCAAAACAAGCTGACTTAGAAAGCAAGAATCTTTAGGAAAAAATCCAAATGCAGCTATACTTTTTCCCCCTTCCCTGATGTTTCTTCAGAATGCAGACAATGACAGCTGGGCAACAGGGAACTTTGCCCAGTGCAGGCCAAACGCTAGAGAAACAGGGAGACTTAAGCAAGTTAGAAAGCAAAAGATCACACGAATGGAAGCTACAAGACCTCTCCCCCTCTTCCAGTGCTGCCTTTTCCCTCCTCCTTACAAACAGCAGGGTCACTCCCTCATCACATCGGCAGTTCCTGATCCTTCAATATGCCCCACTGTAAGCCAAGCCCCCCCCCACACACACACACACACACCACTGAGCCTTTCCAGGAGAAAGGAACTCCTTGACTGGGGTCAGTCTCAAGCTGCCCCTACCAACCCAAACAGTGAGGCGAATGGTGGAAGAGAAAGGAGGAGGGGGCGTGGGGGAGAAAGACAGTTGGCACCGCGCTGCACTCTGGGAGTTGTAGTGCGTCAGCCAATATCGGGCCACACGGGAGACAGGAGTCAGGGACTCAAGTGCCCACAATGCAATGAGAAAGAAAGAAAGAAAGAGAGGAGAGAGGGGGGGTTCCCTCCACACCCGGCTCCAGATCCCTAGAGATAAAGGGGCCCCCCCCCCGCAGTTCCGATTCAATCAGAGGGTGGAGAGACGGCTGAGGGTCTGGAGAGAGAATGGGAGACGTTCCTCTTCCCGCCCCCAGAAGGTACAGAGAGTCATTTCCACCCGGAAGAATCCCCGACCCAAGCTGGGCAAACTGCGTCACAGCCTATCCCCCCTCCTCCTCCTCCTTCCTCAGTATGCCTTTGTGAACACCACCCCCCTCCTTCGAAAGCCTTTTTCTCCTTGCCTTCTCCCAGGCTATTGCTGCCACCTCTCTCTCAACCCCTCCCCTCCCTTTCCCTGAGAGGACCATTCTCCTCTCCTCTCCTTCCCTCTGTCGCTCAGGGGACGTCGCGAGCTCCTGTTCCGCGCGACCCTTTTTTTGCTCCCGACTTACTGACAGCGGCAGCATCCGAGTGCATTTTTGTGCAGCAGTAGAACGCGCGCGCACACTGCCCGGCGCGGGCGTTCCGACCGGCTCCCTCAGTGTTCGGCTCTCCTCTCCTCAAAGCAGAGGCCCGCCCCTTCGCACTGCCCACCCGGAGCCGCCATTGGATTGCGCTTCATTTCGCCGCCGGTTCGATGGGACGCTTCGCCTGCCACTCCGCCTGGCACAGCCTACGCTGGCCGCCTCGCCCACCTAGGGTCTCCGCCTTTCTCTATTGGCCAATGACTCTGGCATGGTACCGCCTGCTCCTGTAAAGCTATTGGGCTACTGCCGCCGCCGATCATCGGCACCAAGCGCGTGCAAGGGGCGAGCGCAAACCTTGTATGGGTTCTCTCTGTCCGATTGGACGGGGAGAGTTCGAGACCGCGCCCCCTCGCCAACCGATTGGCTAAGACGAGTAGAACTCAATCCATTAATTGTACAGTATTTTTTTAATTGCTAAGGCACTTAATTCTGTATTCGAGGCACTGTGTTGTAATGCAGACAAAATTTTCCCCAAAATTTATTAAGCTCACTCCTTGGTGTGAGATCTTTTATGATAAGTTGAGTGCGCCTGTTCCTCTCCTAGGTTACATTTTCAAACGTTAACATCCTTATTAACGTATCTGGATGAGGAGTGGGAAAGGGGGTACTGATGAACCGAAACGTCCTACCTGAACTTCAGTGTCGCGATTACCTGTAGATGGCACTCATGGCTTTCACAGCTGACACTGCTTTCCTATACAGCTGTCCAAAATAGAACTCTGCGTCAGAGGTACCGTATGCCATGAGCGATCGTTGCTGTAGATCAGGGCCGGGCAATTAATTTCTATAGGGGGGGCCACATGAGAAATCTGAACTGTGTTCGGGGGCTGAACCAACTTTAATTAAAAATAAAATGAAACAGTGATGTTATGATTTTTTTTATTTTAAACTTGTTAATCGTCACAAATACTAAAGAGGTTTTTTTTGCAGTATGTTAAAGATAAGCAACTGATCAACTTTAGACAAAAAGCTATAAATGGTTTTGATGTTCAAATCTGTCCGCTGGCTACTTTTACCATCTGTTTTTACCTCTTCAGATAATGAAAGGCCTAAGCATGTGACCGCTTCCATTTAAAATATCATAATAGTGGCCGTGTTCCCACTTTAAAGATTATGCAGTTAGATTTTTAGGCTGTCTGACTCAGCTAGAAATATTTGCATGAATTTCATGTATTTATTTTTTCCTGAGGGCTCTTAAGAGAGTTTTGCAGAAATAACGTAGAGCGCTTTGGGATCTTATAAAGTTTATGACGTAATATAAAGAAACACATTTATTGTGGCATTAGTTTGTGCAAGTGGCAGCACAACCAGCGGCTTTTGGAAATCTGCTATCCTGGTTGTAAACTGCATGTTTTATTATAACATTAGCTTTTGTGAGCTAGTGCCTGCTCCATGAAATGTCTCCTACAATAAAAATGCTTTTTGTAGGCTAGATACACACAAAGGTGAAAAAAAATAGTTATGAGGGAAGAAGAAAACATTTGTAAAGAATTACATATGCACCTTATTTTATGTATTCAATAACCTCTCAGCCCTGCATTTTGACATGTAATGTTAGATTCCCTCCATCTGGAATAACTCCGAACGTGTACTTGATGAATTTGAAAATAATAATACACATCAGTTCCAGCCTATAAAAGTTTGAATGTGGAACACAAAGTTGCCTGACAGAATTCAACTGTGACTGCTCCGTTAGTATGCATGCCAACAAGCATGGAATTGCCAGAGGCAACACCTCTGTGCTTGCAGTTGATTAGCACACTAAATGCAACACAGCAAGCTGTGCTTGGTGTCATTCAGGCTGTACAAGGAGGTAATATAAAGAATGTTCAACCCCTAATTGACCAGCCAACTTTTTCTACAACATTACCCATCAGGGAGTTTGAAATGTATTGCTTTCCTTTCCTTTGATTTATTATAGACATCTCAGAACTTACTTTTGCGAGGGGTGTCCTCCTGCACCTTAATTATGAACAGTACCAGCAGGCAGTGGATTTGGCTGCAGGTGTGTTCTTGAACCAACCTTTAAGACAAGGAAAGGTGGGGAAGGAATCCCTCTTTGCCCTCTCCTGTCTTCTCCTGCATTTGGGAGAAAGTTGTCTAATTATTTAAGTACATCTGTGTGTTTTGTCATTTAGTCATGTCCGACTCTTCGTGACCCCATGGACCAGAGCATGCCAGGCTCTTCCACTGCCTCCCAGAGTTGTGTCAAATTCATGTTGGTTGCTTCAATGACGCTGTCCAAACATTTCATCCTATGTTGTCCCCTTCTCCTCTTACCTTCACGCTTTCTCAACATCAAGGTCTTTTCCAAGGAGTCCTCTCTTCTCTCATCTGCCATCCCCTTCTCCTCTTGCCTTCACACTTTCCCAACATCAGGATCTTTTCCAGGGAGTCTTCTCTTCTCATGAGATGGCCAAAGTATTGGAGCCTCAGCTTCAGGATCTGTCCTTCCAATGAGCACTCAGGGTTGATTTCCGTTAGAATTGATAGGTTTGTTCTCCTTGCAGTCCAGGGGACTCTCAAGAGCCCCCTCCATCTACATTATAAGCACATCAACAAAGCTCTAACACAATCTTTAAAAATTGATTTCCTTCTTCAGCTCCTCCATCAAGAAGCAGAGAAAGGGTTTAATTTTACCATATACTGAAGGGACCATATTCACAATATAGCAAATTGATGACCGAAGGAGCCTCAGCAGGTGAAGGCTCGCTTTGGTTTGTTTCCAGCAACTGCACGCATGGAAAACAAACCAAAATGGAGTGATCCTGCCCACATCAAAAAGTAGGAGTCCCTGAGAGGGACCCAGAAAGATGCAGACAGGAACACTCTGGGTATGGACTGGTTCACTACAGGATTACAGTGGTGCCTCGCTTGACGATTACCTCATTAGACGAGGAAATCACTTGACGATTAGTTTTTTGCGATCGCTATTGTGATTGCTAAACGATTATTCAATGGGGTTTTTCCGTTTTACGACGATCGGTTTCACGACGATCTGTTTCGTGAACCGATTTTTCGCTTAACAACAATCAAAAACAGCTGATTGTCGGGTTTCAAAATGGCCACCCGCTGTGCTTTAGGACAGATTCCTCACATTACAGGCACCAGAAAATGGCCGCCCTATGCAGGATCTTCGCTGGACGCTGAGGTATTTCGCCCATTGGAACACACTGAACCAGTTTTCAATGCATTTCAATGGGCTTTTTCATTTCGCTTGACGAGGATTTCGCTTAACAGCGATTTGAACGGAACGAATTATCCCCGTCAAGTAAGGCACCACTGTCTATCATACAATCACTGGAAAAAGGTTTGAACCAACCTGTCCCCACAATGGACCAAACAGCAGGCTAAATGCCGTCTGATTGCACCCTAAGTCCAACTGTTTTATTTTCAGTCCCCCTTTTAATGATACCTAGCATGGAATTGGCCTTCTTCACTGCCACTGCTTACTGTGTTGACACTTTCATTGAGTTGTCCACCAGCACACCAAGATCTCGTTCCTGATCCGTCATGGACAGCTCAGAACCCATTAGCTGATTGTCACAATTCCCACATGGCCCCTGCTTGTTTCACCAAAGAGCTCATGCTACGTGCCCCTCAGCTGCCACCAATTGATTACATCAACATTACCTATTATTAACGATAGATGTCCAGGTCATATGTCATTTTAAAAGAACCAAATAGAAATTGTTTATTGAT